CTGCGTCGGAATCACTACCAATATATGAACAGGGAGCTTTTTCTTCTTAACATCATCTTTCGTGACTTGAAAGCGAATGTCTATCTCCGACAAACAAACTAGGCTCAACTGTGCCCCCACAACGTCCAAGGGCTCAAAATCACTCGTGTCACTAACACCTTTCATAGCTTCGATTTCGATCAACCACGCATCGCCTCTCTTCGCGAGGTACAGCTTTAATTCGTCAGCGGCAAACAAATATTCCTTTTCCTTCTTGATGACCTTCTTCAAGTGGTCCACTGACTGACTAGCGTCGATGTCCACAGAGAACACGCTTCCTTTCACGCCGACGATCGCGCAGAAAAGCGTCACCATGTTTCTACTTGCTGAGGTCTTTTTAATTGTGGAGTAGCTTGGCCACATTTCATATCATTGTCAATCAGATGTAACAGCATTCAAGGGGATCATTAAGTTAATTATTGACATGATTGATGGGTTAACTGAGTGATGTATTGATCAACAATAAATTTCGAATAATCTTCCATTATAACTGAAAAAAGGTTATTAGTACTTTAAGTCTAGAACGGAAAATACAGAGTTGGTTAGACAAACCACGCATTTGAGGAAATAATAACTCGACTGTGTCATGGGGTATGAATGTATCGACATCTTCCGGTGTCAAACGAATTTTGGCACGAATCGTAATAGCATAGGTATTCATATTGGATCTCATACGAACAGTGCTCGAACACAGGCAAAGTCACTGACGAGTAACATTCGAATTTAAGATGACAAATGTTGGGACATCAATGGATCAAACGATTCGAACTGGAAGTGATGAGCAGATTTGATGCGGAACGGAGATAGAATTTAGGAGCATCGAGATGGCATCAATTGACAAAACAACACGATCCGAAGTTAAAAGATTTAAATGAGCACTAACGCGTAAGATTGAGGTCATGAGTATTCAGTCTTACAGCACTTGACCTCGATTTGAACGTTTGGCTAATGAAACAAAAGCTATCCCAGCGGCAGATTTTACTACCCCATATCAAATTTGAACATTGACGGCAACTACAACTAAGTTTATGGGCGGCTGTCTAAACTATCGAGATTTTACGTTTTATGAAAAAGAGAAGCTGAAAGGAAATAATGCCGCCGGTACAAATAATGTACAGTTCTTATAAAGGAGCATACAGGCTTCTTCGACAAAAGCCTGCAAAGGAATGTGTTGATTATGAGGCTACATTCAAAGACAACGAAAATGCAGCTGAAGGGGCACGTATATTAGAGCAGAAACAACAGACGATGAAATCACCACAACCAGTAAAAATACTCAGTCAAATATGAATACTCTTTAAACGTTGCGGATTTACAGAGAGGATGGATGTGGAAGAAGCGCCTGCGCAATCAGCTTCAGCACCGTATCTGACGAGAAATTTTTTTAGTTCGATAAATGGTAAGCCAGTCGTCAATACAGATGAAAATACGGTCGCTTCTCGAGACACGTAAAGAGGAGTGAACCAAATATATACGATGTTAGAAAACAAACACTATATTGGTTAGATTTGAAAATATCGACTAATAGCTATATGCAAACGAAGCGAATGAGATCGTGCATCTAAAACCTATTGTAATTACCGGCTCAAGGATTGAGTGCACGCGCTCGACGGGAACACACGTACTGACTGGTCGTTAAAGTGTAGTTACACTATTGTGTGATCACGCTATTCCTGTGTGATCCCGTTACACTTTCCTCCATCAAGATGGTCAATACCTACAGTTCACATTTAACTGTCGCCTCGAACGAGGCTCGCGTGTCTAAGACACCACAACATCACCGGGACCCTCTTCCATTTGTCTGCCAAATGAGCTCTGTGCCGGAAACACGGAATATACCCAGCCCCGCTGGTTCCGAGAACGCCCGCGAGCAGAGTTCTTCCGGACAGTATGTCCTAGGCTTCAAGGGAAGCACAGCCTAAGCTCTCGATAACCGAGTACCGCGAACTGTGCCCGCCACGGTCGATGGATTACCTCGTCGAGAGTCTGGAGAAAGTCGACCACGAACAGGATACTCCTTTACCAGCGTGGGAAGAAAAAGAAGGCGAGGTGCTCCAGCAGCGTGACGTGAGCCCGGAAGTGGTATCATTACCAATCATCTCGACGAGGCGCTAAAGCAGCAGCTGGATACTGCCCGTAGGGCGGCTCTCATATGCTCGCATCCACGGTTGGCCGTTGACCCTCGTATGGAATACGGCTTTCCCTCGGAGGATGCCGATGCAGAAACGAAGGATGTGATCACTCGATCGTTGAGTATCTATGTGGTCGGGCGGGCCCTCGGCCACTACACAAGCTGGGCTTGACGAACAAAAAGCTCTCTGAGCTCGCTTCTTCGTACCTCAACAAATCTCATTGGAATTGTACCGCACTCGGCTTCGTGCAAAATGTGGAGGCACTCCCGTACCCCCGATGCGGACGATTCCTGTGATTTTCGCTCCTGGCAAAACCACTGCAGATGACGAAGAGCTCTTTGAGCGGTGGGTGTAACTTTTCCTCGCTGCACAGCTTACGATTGAGCCACTGAGAGATGAACGCGCGTGTGGAAGGTCATCTTCGGTTTGAGTTTGCCAAACTCAAGGTACGTCGCCGACTTCCTTTGAATTATCGGCTGTGACGGACATCACGCTCCCGCAAGCTCTGTGGTCTCTCATACGGATGAGTCTGCGAACGCAGCAGCTCAGGACCATAGCTTGAGCTCAGCTCATGGCCCTTTGGCTCCCCTGGCTATTGCCGAGTACGACGATGCGAAAATTCATGATACTTCTGATCATGACCGTAAACGACGTCTGGGCAGTCTTGCCGAAGTGGCACCTCAAACTCCCATGAGTTCTCGAACTTGGGGCATCCCCGCCACTTCACAAGATACTGAGTTTGACCCTGACAATGACATCGACTCACAAGATGTTCTACTTGATAGTGGGCACCGCCATTCTCGTCGAGGGGAGTCAACGGCGGATTGGTCGATCGCCATCCGATGACTCGCGATGCGCTTTGATCTCTTAGGGACAATGTCCGTCGCCATCGGGACTCCTCTGAGCGTCATACTAGGGTCGCATACGGCTGCGCGAAAGACCTCGAGAGCTTGGAGCACGTTGTGCACTGGCTGCCTCATGTTATGGAATATCGCGCTCTGTCGAAGCGGCTCCTCGCCGTTGGGCTGATGAATGCGTCGCATCATGCGAAGGTGGAGCACTTGGCGCCGTTGAAGATGAAGATCGTTGTAGTCCGTGCTCAAAACAAGTTGCTTTTTGCTGTACTTGTGCAAGTAGTTGGCAAGCCCAAACCACTTGCGCAAGTCCTTCTGGTTCTTTGGAGCCGGCCAATTCACAATGTCCTAGACCTTAGCAGGGTCTGCTTGAAGGCCACGCTTCCCGATGAAGCACCCTTAAAAGGGGATGTCTTCAGCGCCGAAGATGCCCTTGTCTGCATGAGCATACAGCTTGTTCGTGCGCATGCACTCGAAGACCGCTATTAAATGGACGGTAAGGTTTGCTTCATTCGTTTTCTAGTGCTCCGCATGACTGTGGTATAAATGTCGTCCAAGTATGTCTCTGCATACGCCCGGTGTGGCCTGAACAACTGCGTCACAAGACAATTAGATGTTGCTGGTGCATTGGACAGCCCTAAGGGCATCACCAGCCACTCCCAGAGCATGCCGCTCGAAGTACTTACCGCTGACAGCGGAATGTCACTCCTTCTCATGAGCTATTGGTAATACCCATCGACCAAGTCGAGTGCACTGTACTTTGTACAACTAACCTTGTTGTTCTAGAGAACATCCTTCCTATGATCGCGTCTGTGCTAAAATGGTCGCAGCGTTGACCTTATTGTAAAAGTGAACGATACGCCGCTTGCCGTTCGGCTTCGAATGGGGCGACTTACTCTCACGCACCATTTCTGCGTTGTGCTGCGCATGGAACAAGGCGTCAATGACGTCGCACTGCTCCTTGAGCAGGGTGTTACAAAGTATTTAGTTTTCGGAACTAGGTAGATCTCATGACGCACACCTCGGTCTGGAGGTTAGACCGACGGCGGGTCTTTGGAGACTACGTCTGGCATCTCGCCAAGCTCAAAAAGAGCATCCACCGCAGATATAGCTTGAAGGGTGACGTCGCCGTCTTCCTCCCCCGTCATACCGTTGACGAGGGTGTATAACTGTGCGCTATCGTCTACGGTGGGCACATCATTAAACAGAGACGACCCCGGCGTCTTGAATCTAGCGTACGGCGTCGCTGTCTCCTCTCCACAAAGGCTTTATGTCTTGGCGAGACCATTAAGAACACACACTCAGTGCTGTCTTGACAAGAGCCCTGATGTTATTGACAACATCCGACGAAGAGCTGCTAGCCTCACAGATTTTCATCCAGTTGATGTCATGCCAATCCACGCTCATCTGAAGGGCCTTGCCCAGGATGCCTTAGACCTCGTTCAACCATGTTATGCAGCGACTGCTCTGATAAAGTGACACGTTCAGCCCGCGAGCCATACTCGAGACTTCTGTCCGATACACCTTCGGTATTAAACAACTCGGATACTCCGATGTCCAGCACATCGACCGTCCCGGTACAGTGCCCGCGCCAATAGCGTTTTGCAGATGTGGGCTCATGATTCACCAAGCTCCACCAGGAGACATGCGCGTCGCGCCCAAGGTCTTCGACCTCTAATCGATCCATGGCTCGTGGTGTGCCAACCATGCCATAGGTTATACCTTGAATCCAAGTCTAAGACTAAGCAGCGTTCAACGCTATCTAAGTCAAAAAAGTTGACACCGAAGTCCACCGGGACCCTTAGCACCGTGACATATGCCCTCGTCGCTAAATGAACAGTGACTGTCACTCAATCGCACTTTTTTCGCCCCAGCATACAGCTGTCTTCCTTGTATCGTGGAGCATTAAGCATAATTGCCCAACGCCCCGGAGTCGATCAGGTTCGTTCCTGTCTTCTCAAAGCCTTTCACGATCGGTTTTATGACCAGATAGCCCGGCTTGCGTACATGTTCCGTGTTTAAGAGTACAAACTGACCTCTTCCGCTTTGAGGCTCAATAGAACTCAGCTCTTCTCCAGTAAGGCGTCAGTCGGCTACTGGGTGTTGTTCTTTCCCCGCAACAAACCAGAAGACTGGTGAGGAGCGGAACGTCGGTTCGATGAGCGTTGACGCGCCTTGCGCAGGGGGCGACCAGTCCGAAGGACCGTAGGGTGCTCGAACGCTGCCCGGCAGCTCGGAGATCTGCCTCCTCTTTCTCATCATAGCTGAGATTCATCGGCTCAGGCCCGCTCGACAAGCTGCTAAAGTGTACAGTCCAACCAAGTCGTGCCGATCTATAGGGATTCGATGCCACATTCACTGCTTCTTCAAAAAAAGACGGATACACACGATAAACTTTTATTCTGGCCACGCCAGTGCGGAGGCTCTCCATAAAGACGGTAACTACGACCGCCTCGGAAGAGGATCGGCTGCCATACCGGCAATGAGAGTACGCAACTGTTGAACAAAGTCCATTAATTCCTTTTTGCCCTATCGGGCGGCAAGGGAACGCGATTGCACGCGATATGCCTGATTAGGCGGCGAGAACACTAACAAAAGCTGCAGATTCAGCTTTGTCCAAGAGGAAGACGCCACATCAAACGAAGTGCCGCACGTCAGTGCCCATTCACGCGCTCGGCCACCGACCGTGGAGATAGCTTGTTCCACGCGCTGTTGCTCGTTCTGAAGTATGGCGGACGCCATAGCCATCTCGGCCTCTCTCACCCAAAGGAGAAGATCCTCTTCATCTTTGCCCTTGAAGGTCTTAACGTTCACCATGAGCGGTCTGGGTCGGGAGGAGTCACGGTGGCGTCATGGAAGTAGTCAACGCCGACATATATTGATGTAAGTGCTCTAGCACAGCACATCCATAGCTCGAAAAGCCCCTAGCCGCGCGCGCTGACCGCTTCAGGTCACTTTGAGGCGAGGTTTTGCACGCCCTCAGTGCCAAGCAGAGTCATAAGCTTTTCAAGCCCGTCCTGCTATCCTCGGGTAAATAGAAGGACTGCTCTATCCTCACAGAGAATCAGTCAAAGCGACTCAGTTGTATATTGACTACAAATGCTAGCAAGTGCAGCGGTGCTGCCGCAGATCGCTCCTTCGCTTAGCGGAAGCTAAGCAATGTGGTCAAACTTAACGCGCGAATATCGTTGTTCGGTATATACTTGGGACACTTGTGCGAAGTGACTGCTTTCACTGATTTTGTCGAATTAAATAGTGCAAAGCGCGGCGAGTCTGGCCTTGCCTTCGTTTGAAATATTTTGGTATAACCTTGTGTCCCCTTGTACCCGTTACGGAAGGCTGTGGCCCAGATAAAAAAATATTACTGATTAGCTCTTCTACAATTCAGGGCAAAACGATAAAGTATCATGTGCCAAGTGCGCGACGCTATGGCTTAGAGCCAAGATATGCAAGAAATCAACATGAAAAAGCTAAAGGTAGACGAAACACATATAGGCTCGCTCGTGAAAGCGTGTAACAAGCTCTGCCGGGTCAACTCTAAATTCACGATTACCGCCTGATAAAATCTGGAGCTACTTCATTACAAGCTGTTGTAGCTTATACGCTTGCAGACAATCAAGCTCGGCTTTATAAACTGCGCTTAAAATATTGGTATCGTGGTGAACGTAGTCGTAAACTTTCTTTGGAAAAGTGAAACGCAAAGGTGGTGTGATTGCCTTATCGCCGATAAAATGGGCACTGAGTGCGCTGCTCGTGCAGAGATGAGAACGAAAGTAAAGTATGGTTCGTTTTTGAAGCGTTCATGTTGACGAAAAACAGCTTGTCTGTACGAATTTTGATGAGAAAAATGATGCTAGCTCGGGATCTGGAGAGTTATTGTAACCACTCGCATCTAAGAATATCTTGGCTGCTTTACCAAGTACAGCTCGCAGATCGTAGGGGCCAGTTGAGTTTATTTAGAATATTTTAAGGTATGCAGCTTGTTGTACGAAAATCCAAATGCTGGATGACAAGTTTAAGAAACTCAAAGAGCTTGTAGCCTACATGTTTGAGCTTTTTATATGAGGCTCCACTATGCGTATTGGTATACACCACACGGATGCTTCGTATATCCACTGGAGCTACTCTTTTTTTAAGATTTGATGCCGCGTCTAGCGGATCGCTCGGGTGACCTCGCGACCTTGCCGCGTCATATTCCTCGAATATGATTTTTCCATCGCATACTTAAGTGCATCTTCATTATAACGCTTACCAATGTCATACCGGGTATAGCCCAATCGTTTCGGAGTCAGGATGATCATATCTATATCAGCAATGAACATAGTTCGTCAGGTCGCCAAATTTCAGCTCTGTCAAGGCAAATTGACAATGATGTTTATAAAACCCATTGTCCGATATGATTATCTGAGCGCGTATATTCACTGCAATATACTTCATCTTGCGAATAAACTATAGATTGTTGCTTTTTAGGCAACCTCTCCACGTAGCTTGTTTAGGCTCTGAATAAATTGGGTCTTCAAAGACGCTCTTTTTGTTAAGGTTCAAATGAGTAAGCTTTGATACCTTCAGAAATACGTTTAGTTCTAAATGGGGTATGTCGATCGATGTTATCATCGAACGTCGATTCTTTTTAGCCATTGCATCACTCATCTGAAACTTGTTCATAGCTATCTTATAATTGCTGTGCTTCAAAATAAATGCAATGTTGTGAAGATTCACAAGGCGAATCAGCTCACCTACAAAAGGCCTTTAGTCCACTTTCGATGCACCAACATCTTCTAAGTTCCATTGACTCTAGCTTTATGTAGACAGTACCTATTGACATCGTTTTCTCTGCGACGTTGAGTGTTGTGTTTAAATTGAACATGGCGTCTCGACACCTCTTCCTAGTGCAAGAACGTTCCTCGATCGTAGGTAGCACGACCGCGTGCAATCAACCCTTAAGCCGATGATTCAATAGTATTCCAGACTCACGATCTCATTCGATTCCTCGACACAAAGCTTACTATTTTCACACCTGAACCAATCGAGTGTGAGATTGCTATCATCGTATATGTTGGGATCACTCCTCTTCACGTATCTCGAAAAGCGACTGTATTTTTTTCTATCATGACGTTTGGCTAACCGTTTCACCGTTCGCGAAGCTTAACGCCCTTAATAACAAAGAGAATCTTGTCGGGTACGGTGCCGAAGTTGGTTGCACGGGCGCTTCTTCCGCATCTATCCTTTCTATAAATTCACGCATGCGTTTATCGAGTATTCATATTTGATCAAATACTTTTTGATGGTTTTATCATCTGTTGCTGCTGCTCCAGGTATCGGCTGCATTTTTATTCTTTAAGTTTTAAAACGTAGCCTCATAATCAGCTCTTTCCTCTAGGCTTTTGTTGAAGAAAGCGGTATGCTTCATTTAACGCACTGTGCAATTCACCGACGTCATAATTTTTATTCATTGATTGTTAAGTCTCGATATTGTAAACAGCCGCCCATAAATTAAATTAGAGCTGCCGTTTCTGTTCACATTCATTAAGGAGTAGAGACATCTGCCGCCGGGGTAGCTTGTATTCATTAGTTTAACATTCAAACTGTGCCCAAGCGTTGTAAAACTGAAGACCAACGGGCGCCTTAGATTTGGTTTTCACCACTTGACTTCGAATCGAATTGTTTTGTCGATTGATGTCATCTCGATGCTTTTAAATCCGCGTCAACTCTGCTCATCACTTTCAGTTCGAATCGTTTGATCCATTAATATACCAACATTTGTCATTCGTGGATTGCTTGGATTTGAATGTTACTTGTCAGTGGCGTTGCCTGTGTTCGAGCGTTGTTCGTATGCATCAGTGACCCATAAAAAACTTAAAAACAACCACGTAAACCGATTTCTTAATTATCTTAAACCTCTCATATCACTCCTTTCATCTTCACCTCCTTTACATTGATGGATTTGTCATCGTTCTGAATTTATTCTCTGATCGGTTGTTTCGAACACAATGAGGAGTTGTTTCCGATCCTTTTTTTCAGGTTGGAAAATCCATTGTATTCCCCCATCCCGGTAATCAATTTTGACACAGCCAACACTTAGATGCCCCCAAGGTTTATGAAAGCTCACCATCTTCAAACAAAACAAAACCACGACCTCCCAATTCCATTTCTGATTCAGTTTATCAATGATCTTGTCCATTACACTCATATCGACGTTCATTTTCCAGTACTTGCACTCGCAGATGAAAATCGGTTTTTTATTTTTGATCTCCGCGTCTCGGACGTAGACATCACACCGTTTTTCATTGTTGGCACGAACCAAATTAGCAAAATTGCACCCGTAAGAGTTTTGGTCGAGAATCCACATCGGCCACTCAGCATTGGGAGGAGCGAGGAAAGGAATAATCGCACTCGACAAACGCTGGACATCTGCCGAATAATCATTCAATAGATCACTGGCATTAATCCTTCTGTCTTTTTCAATATACATGCTCATCTTTTTCCAAAACTTGTCTTGAAATTCACCCAGCAAGCAAGCAAAGAAGTCATTGAATGGGATTCCTCCTACACCATTTCTTCGAGACGAACAAAAGATTGCATGTGCAACCATATTCTCGAACGCTCTATAGTCGTGAGACACAGTATTCGTGTTCTCATGGACAGAGAATACTTCTGTGGCTGCGAAAATATACTTCGTTGAGTAATTCTCCCGAGTTTCGTGGTCATAGTAGCTTGGAAATTTTTTTCCACCCAATATTGCGAGATACAATAGCATGTCTTCATCAATTGCTGAAAAGCAGCATGTCGGTCTCCACATTTTACCGCTCTTCAAGCTCAACTTGTCACCTGATTTCCTTATATCAGTCAGCAGATTGTCGACTAGATTTGCGAAATGCAAATGCATGCCGAACGTCCCCGCTTCATTTCGGTGCTTCTTTCTTAAGGATGCGTTGCCGGTGTGGTTGGTGTATGATATCGCCAGCAGCTGTGCCTTTTTTCCATCATGTGAGTGCATAAATTTCTTGCTGTCATGCATTCTTAAGCTAACAGCGGCACAAGCTTCGTCCATCAAATCGCAGAGACTGATGGTGCAGTCTCGAATCGCGTATTCCACGACTTTGTCGACGAAATCCCTCGCAAACCGCCCACGAGAATGCGTAGCAATGTCTTGCAGGACTCAGCTTTCGACCAGCCTTGTCGTTCTAGATTATTGTGCAGCATCAGTTGATACCGAGGAAATCGAGGAACAAGCGACATCCATTCGTACGGCTCCCTGTAGCTTGCAAAATACAGTGGAAACAGGTTGGTAATGTTCGAGTCCGTACCCATAATGACAACCACCAAACCACAGACACGAAAGACGTTGCGCTGAAAGGCGGCCATCTGCTTCCCCCCAGCATCGATGTTTGCGTTGCTAGTCATCTCATCAAGAACAAAGAATGGTATTTTTTTCTTCTCTGCCTTCATCTTACCAACCACAGCGCGAACATCTCTCATGTCGCATCGTTTCACTCGCAAGACTGTCTGGTTGTCGAAACGAATCATTCTCAACGCGTTTTGATGCTCATCGGAGCTGCAATATTCAAGCAGTGCCCTAATAAATCCGTACGTCCACAACAGGTGAGTCATATACACATTTGACCTGGTGGCTAAGATACTATACTCATCTTCATTTGGTAGATGCTCTGGGATTTGGATTCAAGAGGAGTGGCAAGCCAGTAAAAATACGGTCATCGGCCACCCAATGCAAATGCTAGTTGCGATTTCCCCATGCCTTTTGACCCTTGCACGCAGATGAACATTGGGCGCTTGTTCACGGCATATAACGTGTCGACTTTGTCCAAAATGTGCGCACAATAATCTCGGCATTTATCTTGGATAAACGTCCACAATGTTGATAGTACATCAACTCTTGCAAACATTTCTTTGTGTCTTGGCCTTCTACGACTGTGACGGAGTTTTTGGCAACAACCAACACGTGAACATGGGAGTTTT